GCTCACAGCAACCTCCAACTCCTGGGCTCAAGCGAGTCTCCTGCCTCAGCCTCCCAAGTAGCTGGGATCACAGGCGCCCGCCACAACGCCTGGCCATTTTTTGGTTGCAGCCGTCATTGTTGTTTTGGTGGGCCCAGGCTGGATTTGAACCAGCCACCTTAGGTGTATGTGGCTGGTGCCTTAGCCACTTGAGCCACAGGTGCCGAGCCACTTTTCTTTGTCTTTTCTTTTTTCTTTTTTGAGACAGAGTCTCACTTTCTTGCCCCCTGGTAGAGTGCCATGCATCATAACTCACAGCAACCTCAAACTCTTGGGCTCAAGCAATCCTCTTGCCTCAGCCTCCCCAGTAGTTGGGAATATAAAGTGCCCGCCACAACGCCCAGCTAATTTTTGTTGCAGTTGTCATTGTTGTTCAGCCACAATGCCAAGCTATATTTTAGAGATGGGATTTCACTCTTGCTCAAGCTGGTCTCCCAACTCCTGAGCTCAAGCAGTTCACCCGCTTCAGCCTCCCAGAGTGCTGGGATTACAGGTGTAAGCCACCGTGCCCACTGTTTGACTGTTTTGAGATAGTGCTGCTATGAACATGTGCTTGTATTTGTTTAAGTACCTGTTTTCAACTTGGGGTGGGGGGTTGGACCTAGAACTGAAAACTGCTGAGTCATGTGGCGATTCTATATTTAATTTTTTGAACAAATGCCAAGTTGTTTACCACAGTGGCTGATCTGTTTTGCATTCCCACAAGAAATGTATAAGGGTTTCAGTTTTTCCACATTCTCACTAACAGTTATTTTCCTTTTTAACTTTAATTAATATAATATTAATTATCAGTTATATTGCCTAGGTGGATCTTTTCTACAAGCTCAGCAAGATCTTCCACTGGATGCTTCGCCTAGGAGATGATCAGGAAACAGCAGTATTTCAGAACTAGAAACAGTTTCTGAAATGGGAATGGCACTAAATGATCATCTAAAAAACACACCAAACTATTCTTACTAGGTAGTGAGTCTATAAGATCATTATTTCCATCATTCTGTTTTTGTGTTTTTCCAAATTTTCTGCGAAGAACATTTGAAAATTTGCTCAGCAGACATTTCTCCTTCCCATTTAAGGAATATAAACCAGGAATGGTATTTTCTCAACCAAGTAAAGATCAATAAAACCAGTTCTGCTGTTCACTCACTGTGGTATATGCCTATAATCCCAGCACTTTGGGAGACCAAGGCAGAGTTCAAGACCAGTCTAAATGACATAGCAAGACACCCTCTCTACAAAAAAGTAGACAGGTTAGAAAGGAGTAAAAAACAACAACAACAACAACAGGGGCGGCGCCTGTGACTCAGTGAGTAGGGCGTCAGCCCCATGTACCTAGGGTGGCGGGTTCAAGCCCGGCCCCAGCCAAACTGCAACAAAAAAATAGCCAGGTATTGTGGAGGCGCCTGTAGTCCCAGCTACTCAGGAGGCTGAGGCAGGAGAATCACCTAAGCCCAAGAGCTGAAGGTTGCTGTGAGCTGTTGCTGAGATGCCACAGCACTGTACCTAGGGCAACAAAGTGAGACTCTGTCTCTAAAAATAGTAAAAAATAAAAATAAATGGTTTCTGAATTTAAACAACAACAAAAATAGATAGGTGGTGGAAGGCACCGGTAGTCCCAGCTATTAGGAAGGCTAAAGTGGGAAGATCACTTGAGCCCAGGAGTTTGAGTCTGAATGAGTGAACTATGACTGCGCCACTGCGTGCCAGCCTGAACACCAGAGTAAGGCCTGCTCTCTAAATTTAAAAAAAATATCTATTTCAGGCGGGCGGGGTGGCTCACACCTGTAATCCTAGCACTCTGGGAGGAGTGGATTGCTAGAGTTTAGGAGTTTTAGACCAACCTGAGCAAGAGTGAGACCCACATCTCTACTAAAAGTGAAAAAAACTAGCCAGG